TGAGAACTACCCACCTGAGCTCAGTCAACTCTGGAACCATGTTAGATAGCAACGAAATTATAGTTTCTGTTTTAAGCCACAAGATTTGAGTGATATGTTTAGCAGCAAGATTTAGATCCTCAGAAGCGGGTGCTATTGTAACGAAGCACGATGCATGTGGCATTGTCTTGGGGACCAAGGGACAGGCATAGGGTGAAGTGCAGTGAGGGGGCTGTTAGTGAGGCCTGAGGGCCTCAAAGGGGCCTTAAAGAGTCAGTGTTACTGGAAGCTGGAGGAAAGGGACCCTTGTTAGGTAGGGTGGAGATTTTGTCAACAGTTGTCTGTAGTGACGAGAAGAGAAAATGTGCCTAGTGAACTCAGTGATGTAGGTCAGGAGGTGTCAAGGCAGAATAATGAAAGTAACACTTGGCTTCTTGCATTGCCTTAGAAAATGTGTGAAGAGCTAGCAAAAATTAAGAAACGTCTTCTGGGCAGAAATCATATACAGGGCAGTGTCGGGAAAACATTGAAAGATGAGGCCAAGAATGTGATTGTAAAACCCTTTGTTAAGATCTCAGAAAGATTTCAGGGTTTCATAGGCAACCCAAAATAAAGAAGAGTTTATCTTGAAGAGACTGTGGTTATGTTTTTTTGTCTAATAGAGTAAACTTCAAGAAGATACATAGAAAACCCACAAAATTTTAAGAGAATTGGTCTGGTCAAAGGTTAAATGAAAAGGAACAGAAAAAACACAGCACAATAAGAGACTTTTAAGCCTCAACCTCTTTTTTTTATAAGCAGGAAACACACCAAGAAGGCTACTTAGTTGCAAGCTCAGTTTTTTTATGGAAAAGAAAGAAAAATATTCAGAGGAAAAAACCAAGAGCCCAGGGGTAGAGCTGAGAGCCTCGGAGACAATCCTGGGCCGGAGGACTACACCCTGAACAAGCATCTGGTGACATGCGCCTGGCTGCATTTGAGTTTCTGTTAACCAGTGACTCCTGTATGCTTCCATTTTCCAACTTTGTGAACAGGAGCATCTGAGATGGTTTTCCGATGTCTGTTCCATCACTGTGTGTGTGTGTGTGTGTGTGTGTGTGTGTGTGTGTGTGTGTGTAGATAATTAGTATCTTTAGTTCACAGATCTTTTGATTCAAAGGATTGGCACTCAAGGAACTGTATCCAAAGAATCCCATCCAAGGAGTTTCATCTGCACCTAGACTTGATTTGAATGACGAGATGCTGGACTTCAAGCTGATGCTATACTGGGATGAAATTTGGGAATCTTGGGGGAAGGAAGGAATGTATTTTGCGGGTAGGAAGAATATAAATTGTTGCCAGAATGTGGGGGAATGTGGCCAATCTTATTTTGCAAGATGGTCAGAATAATATCTCCTATCCCAGACGCTCTTCGTAACAGTGTGACCTTGACATCCCTGCCATCGTGAGCTGGGTTCTACATTCCCTCCCCTTCAATCCAGGCAGGCTTGTGACTTAGGCTGTGGTGACGCTATGTGACTCCCAAGCCTAGGTTGTAAAAGGCGGTAACAGCTTGGTAACTGTCTGGTTGTCTTGGAACCTCTAGAATCCTGGGAAGAGAAATTATCTGTTATTTTATCAAGCCACTCGATTTTTGTGGTGACTTTTTTGTGCAGCAATAGATACCTGCTACAACTGGGATGACAAATATATGAAGAGATTACTTCATTCAACAACTACATATTTTTTTGATTTTTCAAATTTTACTTAATTTTTAGAGATGGGGTCTTGCTATGTTGCCCAGGCTGGTCTCAAACTCCTGGCCTCAAGCAATTCTCTCTCGTCAGCATCCCAAAGTGCTAGAATTACAGACGTGAGCCACCACACCTGGATCCTCAACAAATCTATTGGGCGTTTACTTTGTGCCAGGCATTCTTCCAGTTGCTGAGGATACAAAACATTAGAATCTCAGCCCTCACTCGGCTTACATTCTAGGGGGTGAAAGAAGTGAATGATAGAGGATGTGAGACAGTGGTAAGTGCTCAGGAGAAAGTGCAAAGAAAGGGAATAGCAAGGACAGCAAGGGTGGGTGATTAAGTTACAATTAGAAATAGGCTGGACAGGGAAGGTGATACTTGAGTAAAGACCTAAAGCAAACGCAGGAGCAAAGGCCCCATGTGTGTACCTGTGGGAAGAAAATTCCTTTTAGAGGAATTGGCAAGTGCAAGGGCCCTGGAAGGGTGCAGAGCGAGGAGGCCCAGACGGAGTGGCCGGAGTGAGGGAAGAGTGGTGGGCGGCGAGGCCAGAGAGAGACTAGGCGGGGAGCGTATCGCCTTCTAGGCTATCGTAAGGATTTTTTTCTTTAGAGGGCATTGGGAAGCATTGGAGGATCCAGGGCACAGACGAGACATTATCTTAGTTAAGTTTGGACAAGATCATGCCAGCTGCCGTTTTGGGAAAGGAGGACGAGGGGGAGGCAGGAGGACCAGTGCTGCTGCCGCTGGGATAGCCCAGGAGAGCACCAACAATGGCTCAGACCACGGTGACAGCAGCGGAGGCTGAATTCTGGGATCCGTCTTGCAGGTGGAACTGAGAGATTGTGGACAGACTGAGCGTAGGAGGAGAGGGCAACAGAGGTGCCAAGAGTGACACCAAGGTTCATGGCCTGAGTAACTCGGAAGGATGGGGTTGTCATTTACTGCGACGGGGAGGCTAAGAGGAGCAGGTTTGGGGGATGTATAAGGAATTCAGATTTGGATACGTTAAACCTGAAGTCATCTGAGATGTCCAGTGTGTGTAGTGCAGGAGAGAAGCCTGGGCTGGAGATAGAGACTTGGGGTCAAGGGGGAGTGGTAATGAATGTAAGCTGTGAGATCACAGTCATCTAACCATTTAAACTGAGGGTTAAGCTTGGAGCTGAGCCAGGGCCAAAGTCCCTTCCAAAGCTATGCCGCTTCTCCTTGGGCATTCTGAACTATTCTGGACGTGGACCATTCTGGAAAACTGCCATACAGCAGGAGCGGTGAAGAGATCAGGCTCTAAAGCCCAGATGGCCTGGATTCAGATGCCAGCTTTACTGCACCATCTCCTCCCCATGCTTGTTGAGAATTACATGCATTCACACATGTGGAGTGGCGTGCACACAGAATATACTCATGGAACGCAGATTACTACCACCAAGCCAGGTCCGCTTCCGTTCAGCCCAACGCTAGTCGATACCAATGTCAAGCTCACAGGCTACTATGGATGTTTCCTTCAATGAAAAACTTAACTAGTCAGATAAGGTCTATTTCACTTTAGCATCCCCCAAAAATCGTGAAATGCTGTTTTTTTGTTTTGTTTTGTTTTTTGAGACAGGGTCCCCCTGTCACCCCAGCTAGAGGGCAGCGGTGTCATCATAGCTCACCTCCAACTCCTAGGCTCAAGTGGTCCTCCTGCCACAGCCTTCCAAAGTGGTAGGATTACAGGTGTGAGTCACCACTCCTGGTGACTCTGCTTTATGTACCAAACCCAAAGGTTATGAACAGTGAACAAACTAATGTGCTCAGCTATTTTTTCAAAAGGTATCCTATCAACTCCTTTTAAAAACCCACACAATAGTGAGTCACAAAATGAGTAAGTTATTTTAATCATCTTTCTCTCAAGTATCATTCCTCTTCTGCTGGTCTGATTCTCAGATTCTCCTTCTTATTTGACAATCTTCCTTTCAGCCAAGACCTACTTTTAAAATATTTTGGGATTTATTTTAATATCCATAATTATCAGACTGAAGGCAAACACATCAACCTTAAGACTCTAAAAGTAGAAATCCCAAACATCTTCCCCCTGGAGACAGTACAGGCAGGAGACTGGCTGTACCTTGCCCTGCCTGGCAGAAGGTCCTTGAAGCCTTCAAATTCTGAATATTGAAAATGACAAGAGCATATGGGGGTATAAAGCAGCAACTTATTACACTCACGGGGAATTCCTGGGGGAATCAAATATGACAGGATTTGTGCCTCCTAAGAGTTTATAATCTGAGCGGAGAAAGCAATACAACCTCGTGAGACGAATAAACAACATCAGGCAAGATGCCAGTCAACATCACCATTTTATAGGTGTATATGTAAGTTTCGTAAAAAGCAAACTGAAAATAATCTGCACGGTGGGATTATGGGTGATTTTTCATGTTGTTCTTTTTGCCTATTTATTTATTTTAGAGACAAGATCTCACTCTGTCACTCAGGCTGGAGTACAGTGGCATGATCATAGCTCACTGCAGCCTTGAACTCCTGGGCTCAAGGGATCCTCCTGCCTCAGCCTCCCAAGTAGCTGGGACTATAGGTGCAAGCCATCATGGTTGGCTCTATTTATGCTCGTTTATATTGTCTAAAACGTTTGCTTATATATAAAAATATATGTTTAGTTCAAATATGCTCAAGAGAAGGGGCAGACATAGAGGCTAAGGGCGGGGGCTCTGGAGCCCAGACACCTGCTCAACTAATGGGCCAGGTGACACTGGGCAAGTTACCTAACTTCTCCACAGCCCACACTCTGAGCTATTTTTTAAAAACAGAAATCAGAGCTAATAGCACCGTCTTCCTAGAGGATGAAATCGTCAATTTCAAGGCCTTTGCACAGTGCCTGGCACACAGGAAATGCTAAGTCAATACTCACTATTACCTATGATCACTGTTATTATTATCACAGGAGCCAGAAGAAACAGCTTTCTAAACTGGAGCGCCTAAGAAGCCAATGAAATGAGTTGGACTTGAGTAAGAATCTTGAAGTTTGGGGAAAAGATATTCGAGGTGGGCTAACCATTGAGAAAGGCAGAAGACTGAAGATGTTTACAAAGCTCAGCCCCCTCAAACCAGCAACAGTGAAATGAGAACCAAATGTAGCGTCAAGGCTGACACAAATGCGAAAGTTTTATTTTATAAATAGCAACCCCTAACTGGCTCCAGGAAAAGATAATTCACCACATGCAAACTCCTCTTTTTTACCTACCCATCCACCCTCCTTCTTTTGCCAACAAAAAATAAGAGACTCAAAGAAGATTCCTTCTGAATGTGTATCACCATTTATTGTAGTTTGCGTTAGGGATGGAACAGAGGACATTGTCTGTGGAGGGGGGAAAAAAAGGAAAAGAAAAAAGAATGTTTTTGTAGACTTAATTTCTTCAAAACACTTTATGGTTTCAAATCCTTTTTTACCCCAAGGGAAATTCAAGAATTCAAGTATGTTAAGTAGGGAGCAGTAATACAAAAAGTCTTATGCTTGTGTGTGCGTGTGTGGCTGTGTCTGTCTGTGTGTGTTTAAACAAGCAGACGTACTTCCACGTTGCTCGCACCCTTTTGCTTTGGTAAGGCCAAACCCCAAAGGACACATTGTACAAATGACCCTGCCTCAAACTCACACACTCAAGGGTGGAGAAATTTATTTACCCTTATGTGATAACTGTAAAGGTTTCAAACTGTCACATAGCATTAAAAACACGAACCCTCATCTCTCCCCAAAAAACCCTAAGTCATGTCAGTCCTGATACACCTAAACCCCTCCTTCGCTGCACCTGTCCCTTGGATTCCTAACAGAGGGCTTATGATAAGGACCAGAGCAACAGGATTCGCTTCATTCACTTTGTTTAGAATAAAAAAATTTAAAAGGGACATTTCAAAAGAAAAAAAAAAACTGAAATTCAAATTCTGAAAATATCTTGCCTTTTTTATTAATTATGTCATCTAACACCAATTAAAAAAACAAATATGTGAATATGATATAAAAATACGATCCCAGGATTAACACTTTGTAGCAGGCACAGTTATCTCACAGAATATATGTTTGGAGGGCTGGGGAAAAGAGTTTATTTTTGTTTTTGCTTCTCTTTAAAAAAATCCACAGCAGTGCAAGTAGGGTCAGGAAGGGAGACAGGGGAAAGATTCTTTAGCAGCAAAATGTCCAAAGTTCTCTAATCACAACCAAATCAACGGATACTGGATTAAAAAAAAAAAAAAGATGAAGGGATGCTGCCCAGACCCACTGGCCGTCACTAAAAGATTTCTGCTGCAAAAGCCCCAAATGGTGACAGATGAAGGACGTGCTTTATTACACAAGCAACCATAAAGCTTGTCCCTCAAGCTTTTGACCATGTTTGTCACTTAAATATATGTACAGGAATCGGGCTCCTCTTCTCATCGCGTCCTTTCGGCTCTCTAGCGTTTGGTCACTCGGGTGGGCTCTGGGGTACTTTGCCACATTTGGCTCCAACATCTGCACAGCGGCTTCAGCGCTGCTGCTGCTGCTGCGCCTCGCCGGCCCTGGCTGCTTCTAGCAGAGGGTGGGCGAAGCGACGGCTTAATGATCGCTGTTCTGTTTCTCTCTCATCCATGCCTGAATTTGTTCCTTTAGTTCTGGCACTGAGAAAGGAAAAAGAAAGGGGGGTTAATGGCCCAGATGGGAGGGCTCTTCCTGAGACATGACGCTTGTAGCTCTATGTCAGTGGGAAGAAAAGGCCATTGATCCCCTCCCCGAGCCGAGGACTGCAGAAGATGTGGGACGTGCAAAGGAAGGAAAGGAAGGACGAGACGGCTACAGTGAGAAAGGGCAAAGAGCATTTTGTGTCTTTCCCATAAAGAGTGTCATAAACTAGGTAGTTTCTGGATTTGGTAAGTTTCCCCTTGATTAATTTCTGACGCACGATTCTGGCTCTGCCTCTGGGTGCTGATGTCAGCACTGCAACTCACGCTGTGCCCTCCTCTACCTGGTTCCAGCATGCTCTCCGTCAGCGTCTGTCGGTTGAAGGGGTCCGTGGGGGAGTTGAGCAAGTGGCGCAGAATGATGGAGCGGTCCATGATGGTCCCGGAGGGCAGCCGCACCGGGTCAGTCATCAGGGTGTCCATCAGAGGGTCTGCAGAGACAAAGCAAAGCAAACTCTGATCTAATCATAGAGACTAAAACTGGAAAAAAAAAAAAAAAGAAAACAAAACAAAACAAAACACAGCCCCTACTACCAGGGAAAAATACATCCAAAGGAATAGTAATCAAAGGGCTCTTGCTAGATCCTCGAGTTTAGAAGGAAACCAGCCTCGGATGAAGGCATACACACTGCCTTCCGTAGAGCGAAAGTGCCCTTTTGTCAGCTACGCTGGAGGGAGGGAACACAGAAAAAAGACCCGGGGACAGCCGCAGCAGGAGGCCCCACAGGCTCTGCAGAGCGAGGACAGCGGGCCCTTTGTCTTGGGACTTCTGGGAATTCTTTGAAAACGTGAATCCTCACTTGCAAAGGCAACGCTGCCCTTAAAATCTTCAGGGTTGCTAAGTGGTGTGAAATCAGGTTAAGGAGGATTTTTTTCCTTTTAATTTACAATATGAACTAAAACTAGGCGAATGTAATTTAAAATAAAGTGACTCAAAAAGCAACTACAGCACACTATTAAAAAGTTAAAGGAATAGGAAATCCTCTTTTAATGTTACATATTCAAATTCAATCAAAGAATTCAGCATGAACAAAAGCTGGTCCACTGGCCTCTGAACTCATCCGGAGCGTCGCTGTAGTCGATTTCCGCGCGTGCGTTCTTCGCCACTATCTCCTCTACCTTCTCGGCGAGAAGTTTAAACTTTTCTATCGCTATGGTGGACTTGATCCCTGCCTTCCGCATCTTTGAAATAACTTCTTCGAACAATTCCTTGCTGTAGGATCTCTGCAAATAAGGAAGGGCAACACGAGACATGAATACCTTTTAGGTAGAAAAAGCGAGCTGCAGAAAATATCCCAAGTATGATCTATTTGTGGATTTTTCCCCCTAAAAAAGCCCTAAAATTACATATAATTACATATTTTATATATTCCAGTCTTTATGCATTTATAGCCACATAAAACTATGTACTTTTAATACTTACAAATGCATAAAGACTCGAATCACATGTGTCCAAGTGCACAAAGTCATTACTTCTGGGGAAGGCTACAGGATTGAGGCCAATGGGTTTTCTTGAATTTTTACAGCTCGCTTGCTTTTCTTTTAAAGTTTAAACATTAAAGAGAAGAGGGAATCTAGTCTATTCTAGGCCTTGCAGGGCACTGTGCCCTGAGAGGAGGTGGAAAATTCAGCGCTCTTCCACGGAGGTAAACACGGTAAAAACAGGCCAATGTTGTTCATACTCAGGAGGAGCTTTCCCCTATTCACCACCAGTCCTTCCCGAAGATCACCGAGTTCAGCGCTATCCAGTGTCAGGGGCTCCACTGACATTAGACCACCCCGATAAAACCCTGAATGGGCCTAAGAGAAGCCGTGATTCACGTGCCCGAGACGGGGCGGGGTGGATTAGAGGACAAGTACCCACCACGAACCCAGACAAAGCTGGACTTGACTTCTGGCTCCACCCACTACCAGCTCTGTGGTCTTAAGCAAATCCCTACCTCTCCCGAGCCCGTTTCTGGGGATGTGAAATGGGCAGAGTAGGCCCAGCTCGCCGGTGCCCGATTCGCACAATCAGTGCTGCCGCAAACATCGACGCACGTCATGTTTTGCATTCATGGCAAAATATTTATGGAAAAAGCATTGGCCACTTGTTGATTTAGAGACAATGACGCAAACAGAACAGGGGAATGACTGAGGCTCTATGACAGGACCACAATCTCTTATCATACCTGGTGACACCAAAGTACTTGGACCCAAAGTAAGTTCCATTGTTCAAAAGGCAAGTGTTGCAGGGTTTGTTACGATCCCACCCCTGCAGTGGAGAGGTGGGGGTCTGCCTGTCTCTCCTCTAACCCGCAGGACTGCGAGTCTCTAAGAGTCAGCAAGGGCGACACAGGCCAGGGCTGGATGCCGCTGGACTGTGTCGACCAGGACCCCACAGCATGCCCTCCCCACAGCGCCCCCAGTGCGAGCTCGCACTGTGCACTTCTGCCGGGGACAGCACCTGCTTCTCCAGCACACGCCTCGGCCTGAAGAACTTCTGCCCTTCACCTTAGGAGCTACTTTGCTGGGGGACCTGGGGGCACACGACTGCTCTCCTTTTCAGCTCTGCTCTGAACAGTGTGACCTGTCGTTTCTACCTGCGGATTCACATCAACATCTATGGTATGAATTCGTCTCAGTATTTGTGCTCTTTTAGAGCACTGGACTGAAATTCCCCAACCTTTCTTCTTTATTTTTTCAACTTCGGTTTCTAAATAAGTGCACATGCTCGATTCCTCTCTCCACACACCCACGGCCCTCATCAGCCATGCGACTGAGGGAGAGAGAGGACGGGGGAGGTGGCAGCAGGGTGGCTGGGCCTGGCAAGAATCCTGAAGGCCATCTTCAGAGTACCTCAGTTACGGTTTCCTAAAGCTAACATTCTGTATTAATTCTACAAATACTTTATTCAATGCCGACTTGCTATGAGCCAGGTAAGCCACAGAGGATAACTGGCCAAAAGATTATAGTCAAATGTAGGAAGGGCAGAAATGCACAGGGAATTGTTAAAGGCTGGGGTGGGTGCTGCTATAAAAATACTACTGAGACTATTTGACCATGAACTTCTCTTTGCAACAAGTAGGTATTTCTAAGCCCATTTGCTATTCTCATAAAACACCGACCACTCTATTTCTCAAAAGATGATGAGTTTTTAACCAATTGACTTGTGCGTGCTTGTAAGTCAGCATCTAAGATACATCAGTGCAGTGAGCATTAGAAATTAGGCCCAGCACAGTGGCTCACACCTATAATCCCAGAAGTTTGGGAGGCCGAGGTGGGAGGATTGCTTGAGGTCAGGAGTTCGAGACCAGCCTGGGTAACAGAAAGAGACCTCGTCTTGAAAAAACCCAGAAAAATTACCCAGGTGTGGTGGTGCACACCTGTAGTCCCATCTACTGGGGAGGCTGAGGCAGGAGGATTACTTGAGCCCAGGAGTTTGAGGTTGCAGTAATCTATGATGATGCCACTGCACTTTAGCTCAGGCAACAGAGCAAAACTGTCTCCACATACACACACACAAAGTACTTATAATAAGAGGATATGGCATTGAGTCTCAGAGAGCAGTGGCATCAGTA